CTCTGTTATATTTCAGAAATTGGGGTACAGGAAAGAGCCGGGGTCTGTTCCAGGCTTATTTACAAGCATTCTGCATGCAGTAGGGCAGAGCTAGCATAAACTGGCACTGCTAAGTTCGATGTTTGATATTTTGCTATTTTTGATCCACAGAATCTCCCCAAGGAAAGAGCCTTGCCATCAGAATCCTGAAGAGCCAGAAGAGGAGGATGAAGATGTTCAAACGGAAAGGGCAAAAATTAGGCATGCAATAGCTTCTCAGCATGAGGGGGAGGTAAAACTAGCTCTTGTTCTTTTCTGTCTGTGTGTTTACCAACATGTACGTGTGAGTAGTGCAGAGATACACCCAGGTAAAATAATATCAACATCAATAGGAAGTCCAGTTATTTCTTCTCTTTTTTCCCCTTATTCCTGTGAGTCGAAATTGACTTTCTCAATAGAAACAAAAAAATCAGATAGAATTAGAAATGAAAATTCAGCTTTTAAACAGAACTTTTATTCTGAGACAATTTAAAATGAGTAATCACTGGAATAGGATTCTGAGACCCCTGAAAAACATTATGCTTAAGACAAACCAAGTATTGACCTGGCCACATGTTCATTCAGTTAATGGCACAATAAAGCAAGGAATAAGTCACAAAGTTATTGCACAAAATAGATGTAATAACTGCGTGGCTGGTTCCTTACATGCCTTTAATTGACTGTGTGGCCAGTGCCCAGCCTGCAGCGCAGGGCAGTGGGAGGCAGTGGGGATCACAAACAGCCCCTCACCTCCACCACCCTACCCCCCACCCCCGGCCTGGCAGGAACCAGAGAGTTCAGAGCTTTTTTTTTTTTTTTTTTTTTTTTTTTTTTTTTTTAATTGCTGGGAGCTGGGCCGGGTGGGGTAGCTGCAGGGGGGCTGGGAGAGCGGGCAGGGGTGAGGCCTGTCTGATTCAGAGATTCGGCTGATTCAGCAGCGGCCAAATCTCCAAATCAAATTCAATCAAATCGAATTGCTGTCCCCCGAATTGGCCGAATCCAAAACGAATACTAGCTGCTTCGCACAGGCCTATTAACAACTATATTAACAAAAAGAACAACTGTATAGTCTTGTATGATTAAGAGAATTTATTCTTCTCCTAACTCTCATCCCAGAAACCATTGATCATTGTCAATAATCTACGCAAGGAATATGAAGTCAAGAAAGCCGGTTCTGTTTTTAAGAATAAGAAGAAAGTTTCTGTTAAAAACATCTCGTTTTGTGTGAAAGAAGGTTAGAAGTATAAGAGTTTTCTTGTTCCCTTTTACTGTAATGATGACTGTGTCTGCTACTGTTTGGAAAATTAAGTCTAACTGAAAATCTGTATGTGTTTATCTAGGAGAGATATTTGGACTGCTGGGACCCAGTGGAGCTGGAAAAAGCACAACCATAAATATGATCACTGGAGAGACCACACTGAGTGCTGGGCAGGTGGGTGGAGGAATGGAATGGAGTCTAAAGAACTGGGTGAATGGAAAACCCGGTGATTACTTCTAATCCATAAATAGAGTAAAACAAAGTGATATTTGAGATCCAACTTGTAGCCTAGCGCATTGTGCAAAAGGATGAAAAAATAACCATGAATGTAATTAATATATGATTTTTTTTTCTTGTAGTAAGGTAACAAAATATTTTAACTTTATTTCTGTGAATCATACAAAGCCAAATCTAGACCTGAAAGCATACATCCCACCCAGGCATCATGCTAATTTTCTTTTAAACAGTGCAAGTAAGCAGCAATTAAAAGAGCCCATCTCCAATTTCTGCTAAACCTGGAAGTAGTTATGTGTCGCTGCTTATGCATTTTTTAATTTTAATTCTTGTGCCACAGTAAGTACCATTACAAGGGCTATCTACAGCTGCTTTCCCTGTAAAGAAGTAACATAGCAGAAAATGGGAAAGCCTGTGCTAGGGTTGAACCCTTACTCAGTGATCTAGTGAGAGTGCTCATGTAAGCAAGCTTGTGGGATTAGGCCTCTGTTCAATAATCTTCCTTTCTCAAACCCCATGTGACCTTCCTCTCATTTCAACTCTACTCTTGTACCTTTGCAAATGATTATTCAAGAACACGGGTGTGGATCTGGGGCAGGGGGTGCAGCAGAGCAACTGCACCCCCATATGTAGCCAAGAGCTCTGTCTCAACCAGCCAGCACATGTACAGTGAACTCACTGTGCTGACTTTACTCTTCCTCCACCCAAACCTTTGCACAATCCTGCATCCACTACTGCAAGGACAGAATATCTGATTGTTTGTGCAGGTGCTGGCAAAGGGGAAGGGTGCAGCTGAATCTCAACTGGAAGCCAGCGCCCCTGGCTTCCTAAGCTACTGCCCTCAAGAGAACCCTCTTTGGCCAACCCTGACTGTGCAGGAGCATCTGGAGGTGTATGCAGCAGTGAAAGGGCTGAGGAAAGAAGATGCTGCAGTCACCATCTTTCGGTATGGATAGAAACTATTTTTGGTAATATTTTGTATCTCCGCATGACAGGGCACAGAGAGCAAGGGATTACAATCCCTCAGAGCTAGATCCCTCGCTTAAATAAAACAAAGGAAGCAATTTTTTATAGAACTTTTGGAGAGCAGGCTTCTCTCTTGGCTTTGCCCACACAAACTTGCTCACTTAAGCTGAGTTCAGACTTATTACAGTGGGGAGCAACCTTTTTATCAGGCATGACACCAATCCTCATGCCCTCCTCAAGTGCCAATCTGATCTCCTTCCCTTGCCTGATCTGCTTTCTGCTCCCTGCCCCCTCTCTGATCTGGTACATGCCTCACGTAGAAGCTCCCTATGTTTTTGTGACACTCATGCTGCAGATTGGCCACTTCTGGGTTACAACATGATTATTTGTAGTAGTCAATTTTATTAGGAAAATGTTTCTGTGCTGCCAGGGACTGCCAGCTTGAAATGACTTTCCTTATGCAGATTCATCCTTTAAAAAAAATGCTGGCAGGAGCTACCTGCTGAAAAGTTAAAATTGGCTTCTCTTTTGAGAACCCCAGTGTCCTTCCCTGGGTGTGAATTTTCCCATGGTACCTAGTTAACAAGCCCAGAAGAAGCAGCTGACTCTTTCCACCTGGCTGCCAGTCTCATAGAAGTGGACACCATTTAGGTGTCTAGAAACCAAATGTACATTTTACTTCTTTTCCCTCTGCAGAATATTGAAGGCTCTGGAACTTCAGAAGTATTTTAAAAAAGCAGCTGGGGAATTACCTGCTTGGATAACAAGGAAGGTGTGTTCTGCTGCTTTTGTGTTAGATCTTGGGCCAAGTTATTCTCTTAATTAGGCAAGTCTTACACCTGGGGAAGCTTCACTCCAGTCAGTGGAGTTAACCCTGAACATTTGAATGAACATAAATATGTATGGCATGTGACTGTCATAGTTTCAAAGCAATTTTTGCTTTGTAATGTTGTGGACAACAAGGTAAACTCTCTACGAGTGTCCCTATTAAGGCAGCAGCTGCTGAATTGTGTTTAGGACACAATAAGGATTTTTGTTTGGTGATCATTGTAACAACGATATTGTTTAAAACAGCCTCATTTTCTTTTTAGTTGCATGGATGAGATTCCCATTGTTTTCCACGAGATGAGGAATTTGGGCATTAATTTGTGCTTCATCTCGTCATTGTGGGTGGGGCATAGCGGCAGTGTCCAGGGCATCCAACCAGACCTCTGGACATATGAGGTTAAGTCGCTGGTCTTATACAGAAGGTCACCTGGATTGACTGTGAAGTCAAAGGCTGATGGACGTGATGCTGGCTACATAATTCCCTTGTCTATTGATGGCTACAGACATTGGTGTCTCAGCCATGCCAGCTTGGACAGACAGTTGACCTTTCCTTATGACTTCAAAACAGATTATGTCCATTGTTCAGCTGTCGCAGTATGAAGTTGCTGACTGTAGCTTTACACTGGTGTGTGGGTGTGTGTGCACTTGTATATGAGGGAATGCACACACAAGCAGATATGATAGACATGGGTGGGTGTTGGCATAGGACAGAGACAAGGAAATCCAACCTTTATTCTATAGAAAGTTGATATATTTTGGTTTGTTGCCAAAACAGAGATTTCAGAGTTCCCATTAGAATTAAAAGAAATGTTTCATTTTCCAAGATGCATTAGACCAGGCGCACTAGCACTGGTTTCTGAACAGCTGCCTGGTCATAACAAAAAAACCCCCAGAACTTGATTTGATGTCTTTCTCCCATTTTAGCTGTGTTTAGCACTCAGCCTCCTGGGTAATCCAACAGTTGTGCTCTTGGATGAGCCATCAGCTGGAATGGACCCAAGGGGACAAAGTCAAGTGTGGTGAGTAATGCCTGTGCTAATGGTTAGTATACATTTGGCATAAGAACTAAATCTGCACAGTGCAGAAGTACTGAGTGTGAAGACTGGGTTATATAGGTTAGGTTTCTATGTCCACATTTGGGCACCTAAGGAAGTGTTCTGATTTTCAAGTCACTGTGACTGGGTGATCTCTAAGTGTTTTGGAAAATAAGGACACTTTATTGACAGTACATCAGTATGGATTTAGGAACTTATTTTTATGTATGTCAGCATGCAAATCTTCTTGTAACCCATATTTTGGTGTGCTGAGCCAGAGCCAGAGATGATCCAGCTTTGTCACAGTTGTTTGCCCTCACATGAGACTCTTCAGATGAAGGTGAAAGGAACTCAGGCATTTCACTTGGAAGTTCTCCAGTTCTGTCTTGAGTTTGTACCAAGATGCCTGCCGTCCTATAAGCTTTGAAGTTTATCACCAGGTTGCTTCAGTACAAGAACATATTAGGCAACAAAGCAGATGAGCACACTGCTGATTCAGACCAACTCCTCCACAGCTGTTGTGCAAGAAGGTTGGGTCATGATATAGATGCTTTCTGCCTTCTCTCTGACTCTCCAGTTCAAGGTGCAGGGGCACAGAGCTTTCTACATAGTTTTAGGTTCATTGACAATTCTGGGGAAGTTCCCATCCCAGCCGTTCATCATCTAGAAAAACAGTCAGCTGGGACTTAGTTTCTGTTGAGGACAAGGAGCAGAGTTTTGGTTTTTGTCTATCCTCTTCTGAACTGGTTTGTCCTACTTGAATGGTTGTTTAATTCAAAGTTGTAAGACCTGAAACAAACTTCAGTATCATTTTCATTATAAGTTGATCCTGCATATAACTTGACCCCATACTTTCAGGTTGCTTTTTAGAAACAAACAACTTTGTCCCAACTTTTTCAGGAGTTATTGAGATAAATATCTTGACCTGCTTTTGCCCTGACAAAATCCCACAGAAGAATCAAATAACCAAGGGAAAGGAGCCGAAGGCTTAAATACACTAAAAGTGTTAAAATCTAAACTTCACTGAAAAAAAAAATATCTGTTTCGGTATTTTTAAAGCATTCATAAAATTCCTCCACGTGTAAAAGTCAAGATTATAGGAGGTCAACCTCACATATGCCAAGCGTGACTTACAGTTCTTTTCTAGGAAAGGAATGATTGAAGTAGAATCAAAAGACTGCAGTAAGTCTTGCTGACAAGGAGACGTACATCTCAGCTAAAGCAGATCCAGAAAACAGTATTAATTACAGGTCTCCATCACCTGCTCAGCACTATAGCCGATCTTAATTCAGGACAATCCACAAATAGATTTTGGCCATAAATGGGGTTTTCAATCATTATTTCAAAGTGTCCTGATATAGTTCATAATATAAGGAGGTTAACGTTTTGAGCGGAAAGTGCATTGGAAACCTTATTTGGCTGTTCCTGTGATGTATGTTTTTCCTCTTTGTTTTCAGGAAGGTGATTTGTAGTGCACTGAAGAGCAAGGAGCAAGGAGCCATTCTGACAACCCACTGCATGGAGGAGGCAGAGGCAGTGTGTGACAGAGTGGCCATTTTGGTGTCCGGTTGGATCCGGTAGGTCATATCATAGCAAGATCAGCAAATGCATGCTCCTTAGAGAACTGATGCGTGTTTGAAAGCAAATTGATTACTTTAACTTGCTTCTTTGAAGAGGATGGTGTGCCATGAATTAAAGCTTTTTTTTTGTCTGCTACTCTATGTGTCACATTGTGCTGCTTCCTTGTCTTGACAGGTGCATTGGCTCCATTCAGTACCTGAAAAGCAAGTTTGGTAAAAGTTACCTACTGGAGATTAAATTGAAGGACTCTGGGCAAGCTGATCAGCTCCACACAGAGATTCTGAGGATCTTCCCACAAGCAGCTCGCCAGGAGCGGTAACTGCCAAACCTGCTCTAGGTTTCAGTGATTCATGGCTGGCTCCTTGTGAAGTGACTCATTATATCCTAGTTGTATTCTCACTAGAGCAGACCGCAACCAATGTCCCAGCTCAATAAAGAGCCTGTATTTTGGAAGACATGGATGGGTCCCCATCTACAGAGGACTAGCTGACTGGAGATTGTCATGATATCTGGCCCATCACCTGGCCAGGCAATGAAGTGCCCTTCCATTCCAGCCCCCAGGTGTTGATTCTTGATAGACACAGACTGACAGATTCATTTTTTTGTTTCTTCTAGGTTTTCTTCTTTGTTGGTCTACAAGGTACCAATGGAAGATGCCCTGCCACTGTCCCAGGCTTTCTCTAAGATGGAGAGAGGTAGGAATGAAATTATTCATAGAAGAAAAGAGTCACTCATGCAAGGATTTGTATGACTCGAGAATATTTTTAACCATTTTTTTTCATGTCTCCACAGCCAAAAGATCCGTCGGCTTCGAGGAATACACCTTCTCCTTGAACACTTTATCACAGGTATGTGATTTTGAACTTACACACAGGATTTTGTGTGTGTGATAAAGGAACATGCGTGCACAATTTGCCCAAATTGCAGAAATTTGGAGGGAACACTGAAGGCAACAGCATGCACTTATTAGATTTAGATAAAAGAACAATATTCATTGCATTAATCAGGCTCAGAGCACAGTGTATGCTCTATAGTTATATGTCAAGGTAAAAGGATGGAAAATGCCCCTTCACGTTCCTGGATTCACTTCCCCTTCACTCCCATGTTGCAGACCAGTGTACTAGGGAAAGTGGCCTCTGGGTAGACCCTGCATCTACAAAGACCTGGTTTGAATTATGTCTTCTGTACTCTATGTAAAAGTGAACGTGAACAAAAACTGCAGACCTTTACAGAGGATGACAGGCATTCCCAAGCATTGGGCCAAGCCCTAGTGAACTGAATCACAGGGCAATTGGATGTTGCTTGTGCGAAGTGTGAATCTGGATGAGTAGAGAGCCTGGTTTTGAATGAGGTTCTTCTTTTGGACGCTTGCAAGCCTAGACATTGCCTGTACCAAAATAATCATCATTATTATATATACTTGTTATTGGCTCTGAGAAATAACTAGAGACTCTTCGTTCTTGTTTGTTACAGATGGTCCTAGAACTTTCCCGAGAGCAGAAGGATAACTCTGATCTGGATTTGGATGGAAATTTTGAACAAAACCTATTTCAG